CCCCTCATCCACTCTCTCTAGCAGCTGGCAGTGTAGCACTAATATTCATAACCATAATGATATTTTATATGATGATAAAATGATTCATGTTCATGCACACACTTACTTTTCAACCACAATACAAACTTATAAACTCTAGCTGCATTAAACTCTTTTGTAGAGCCACAACTCTCAGCCCTCCTATAGGGTTTTAACAGCGGTGAAACTCTGGGATATGTGGCTGCATTAGACACACAGGGTTCATTTCAGTCTGCAGCAGACTGGTGCTGGATGCTTTTCGTATCTTCTCTGTTGGTTGGTGGTTCTCAATGGTACAGAAAGCAGTGATAGGGTTGCCACCTGTCCAGGATTCACCCCGGACAGTATGGGTTTTAGAAGGCTGTGTCTGGGTTTCATGGCAGCAGAAACCCGGACACAAGATGTCAGGCAGACAGGGGCAATCAAAATTAAGATGCTACTGGCCCCCCACTGAAAATAGTCTTAACTGTGATATTTACATATGAATAAGCCACGACTCAATCTCCACTAAAAATTTCTGTGCGTCCCTAGAGTGTTTAGGTTTCACTTGAAGAAAAGGTGGCAACCCTGAGCAGTGATGATGACATTGGCAATGCCTTCGGCAATGTTACACTGTGAATGCAGGGCGTTGTGGTGGCAGGCCCAGAACGACCTGCACTTACATTATGTCTTCAGTCTTCTAGGTTGAATGACATCCAAGGAAGAGTGGGGAAATCTTGTTGAGAAATAAGATTACTGCAGGGGGAAGCACAGGAGAAAAAGGTGAGTACTGCAGCCTCAGCTACATTTTTTAACTACCTGGGGGAGGGGGGGGGGGGGGGGTGTCTTTATGTGTCATTTTAGAAAAGCTATAGATCTGATATATATGGATTTTGCCAAAGCATTTCATACTTCACAATAACCTTTCATCGAGGCTGGACAGGAGGATTTGGGGTAAAAGGGTGTACTTTTACCATTCTCTGCACATTTACCATTCTCTGTACTTTGAATACTATTACAGACTGGCAATACATGTAATGGAAGATATTTTATTTCACTATGACAAACAACATTTACATATATTAAGAAATGCAAATCATCCTAAAAAGTGCAAATTAAATAAAAAAAACAAAAACAAACAGAAAACTATTACTTATAAATACAACAATTTTCACTAATATATAGTCCAAAATCATATATAATCTGTATAATATTATATAGCAACTAACTGAACTCTATTCATATTGTTGAAATACTGCATGTAGACAAGGAAGAGGTCATCACATCACACACAGTGAACTTTGGTCATTCAGGGCAAAGCAGTAGGTTCACTTAACTGCTGTCCTCCTCACCATCTTAACCCTTACCCACCTGCTGTATGTATATCTATGGCAGCAAGGTGGTGGGCTTTAATGCCGTTCTGCCACATATATGCATACAATCAACGTCTCTGTATTGTGCTAGGAGCATACTCAATCATGCGCCCCCAGAAATAGGGTAAACTGATTACTGTTTACAATTGGCAGCTGGTAGGGTGGGCTTCTGATCACGTGACCACCGTGGCAGCCAATCACAGTAATCACATGATCGGGTGCCTACCTACTGGCCTCCGGTATTAGGATCCCCATAAGGGCCAACTCTTGCTGGCAGAAATAGGTTGTCATAGTCGTGTTTCCTTCACTTCCCTGCGGCACCCTTTGGCCACCTGGAGCAATAAGCCATATGTGATACTTCTAGTTGTGGGGACCATGTAACTCACTCCCTTTCACCCCTCCTGACATCAGTGGTGCTTGTTGACTGGCTGCTCAGACACCCATTGCCATCACATTACAGCAGGGAACAAGTTCTTAGCCCTATGTATACTCCATCCTGTGACTTACAGAAGGCTTCCTTTCGCCACTCCTGGCAGCCAAATGAAACAGCAGGGGAGCAAGGAAAAAGGCTGAGAATAAAGCACAGGTTCACTTTAAGGTGAAATGTACTAATATAAACTGGCAGCAGAATATGAATGTAGGTACCCAAAGGCTACCCCAGGAACCTTCACAACCTATGGTGCACCAATATGCAAATGTCAGCTTCACCTTAGAGGCGCTCTCCTTGTTGCTACCCTTGCCTTACTGGTGGTTCATTAACGTGATGGGTGCAGAAGAAGTGAGGGACAATTTCTTAGCTAAAGTTGTTATATACTTAATAGAGTATCCTATGTTCCTGGGGTGCTCTGAAGATAATCAAAGTTCAGTGCAAGCACCTCTACGTGCCTGCATGAATACCTAACTGGAAGCAGATTCTTAATAAGATAAGATAATTGTCAGCTGACCCAGACATTTTTAGCAGCTACTATTGTAATGTCCATGGGTGCCTTAAACCCTATAAAGTTGAATTCTCATAAGACAAGGCTGGTGCACTATGCAGGAAGTCTCTGGTAAATGCACAGACCTCCATGTCACATCTATTGGCTAACTTTACAAGATCACACCTCTGCAGCCTAGGCTATGCAGTTAGCAGATGTTTGGATGCCCACATATTATACAACAATCTTCACCTCTCCACATGCCATGCAGTAGTGCTACAGGTGACTTCTCCATATATACAGTCTAAAGCACCCTATAGGCATTATACAAGCATTGGGCAGTGACCATTCAAACTGTAATTGTAGTTTAGAACTGTCTGTCCCTCCCATCCAACAGGAGCACCTTATCATGCTAAACAATAAGAACTCCAGCCTGCCAGGCCTCAGCTTACTCGGTTCTGAATACTATAACCCTAGCCTCAAACATGCACTGGGTACCGCTGTAGGGAATAGTAGCCATCTCAGCTATAGGTGCCAAGTACAGCCACTAGTGTCTATGGCAATGCACATAACTAAGTACAGTGGTTCCTCCGTTCATGACCTCAATTCGTTCCACGATTCTGGTCGCGAACCGAATTGGTCGCGAACCGAAGCAAACTGTGATCAGACCATGATCTCGACTAGAGGAAGCCACGACCATGTCTCAGAGCAGGGAAGATGGCTGCAGTTGTGATTGTCACCCGATGCGGAGTTCGCAAACGTAAGCAAAATTTTGCCGAACCGAAGTGTTCGCGAACAGAAGCGTTCACGAGCCGAGGTACTACTGTATATGGGCTGCAGAGTATGCACTGGAGAGTATGCTGGAGATGGAGCCTATAATAATGCATGGATCCTGGCAAGACCCTTCCTCCAGCATACTTTCTAGTGGGCATTTGGTGAATGCGTTTGGACAGCCACCATTCCCTGTGGTAGGGGGGACACATGGAGGAGGTTAAGTGTGTGGGCTGCCAGAACCAGGGCGAGTAGACACTGTGTGAATGGTGGGCTGGACTCTTTAGCCATCATTTGGTGCATGCACTTGGGACAGCCACCATTCCTTTGGCAAGGTCAATGTATGCAGGATGTTAAATGTATAGGATGCAGATTACAGGAGCCAGGACCTAAAAATACTGTTTGGCCCTAAAAAGATCTTTCACAACTACTCAGTGTACACAGAGCACACTGTCATAGCAAGGAAGCTCATTATGACATGTGGTGACTATAACTGTTGATGTTCCAGATATGTATTACAGAGCAATGTGACCTCAATCAAAATCAAAATATATACTTTACCTTAGAGAAAGAGTCTTAGGAGAACCGCTATGAAACCCTGACACAAATAATACAGACAAAATACTTTATACTGAAGGAGGCACAGCTTCCCAGTGGTGGTCTTTAGAAAATAGCTGAGACTATATAACAATTGGTATGAAATATTAAAGCTACATCTGACTTTTTGGTCATAGACATAGTTAATAATCTTCAGAGGAGTCCTGGTTGGAGGAAACTGCCACAGCTCCTTGATTACGGAAGCTGCGCAGATACACCCGAAGTTTCTGGGGATCGACATTTCTCTTTCGGTTAAAGTCTGCCTTGGGCTGTTGCTGGGAACACTTGTCACCTTGCAGGGTTTTGAAGAGGCTGGCTAAATTAGGGCCAATCTGGTTCATTAGGTTGTCCTTGACGGATGCGACAATCTCTTCGTCACAGTCAAGGAGGTTGCTCAACAGCTTGTTGTAATATCTGGAATTGAAAGCAAAGGCTCAACAGTTATGGACACTACTGGAGATTTTCATTGTGCTATAGTTGTTTATTTACCTCATACTTTGTTAACGGTGAATCAAACTAAAGCATTACTATACATATTATGATCTTATGTAGAACGTGGTAGCAGCACAAACGAGTATTCATAGTCATCTGAAGGAAGAAGGAGCCCTCTATGCCTGATTCACACATAGGCGTTTTTTAGCAGTTGCAAAAGCGCTTTTAAATGCCCAACACAAGAAATCCCATGGATTGCAATGGCCCCTGTTAACAGCTGAGGAGCAAAGCACCAGCAGGAAAATGGCAAATGCCCAAAAAGGTACAGGATCTTCTTTGGGTGGTTAACAGGGCTTTTTTGCCCCATAGAATTCAATGAAAATGGCCACAAACATGTGGCAGAAGCATGTTGCACGTTTTTTCGCTTTTGTACACACGTTCGTCCATTGCCAGCAATGTTTCTGAAGCTGCCAGTGAAAACGCGCATTTTCATGTACGCGCTGCGGAGAGTCAACCTGGGTGAGAGCTAAAAAGGGGTTAACTTGGGAGGGCAGATACTTCCCCCTTCAGCCCTTGCTGTTAAAAAGGTAACACAGGTGACAGAGAGAAAGAGAAGTGTGGATCTGGGAGAGACAGGAAAGGAGCTCTCTGTGTGTGGCTGCTCAGAAGGCAAATGGACTTGTTTAGGTGAGACCACCAAAACGCACAAGGCTGTGCAACATTGTTGAAGGACTTTTGCTTTGCTTATTTCTGTTTTGCAGAAGAAAGCCTGTTGTTTTGCTGTTCTGGTGAAGGAAGCTATTTGTTTTGTTACCTGTGGATCGAATAAAAACTGTTAACTTTTAACAGGCTGTCACAAAATGCATGTTTACCCCTGGAATCCCCACAATTGGTGGAGAATGCGGGCATTTTGAGCAGTCTGATGGCCTGGGTGAAATCTGCACAAGTGTTGCTAAGAACAGGAACAGAAATGGAGGAGCTAGTTAAGCACTTAGAAAAAGCCACAGTGGCACAGCAGCAGATCAGTGCACAAACACAGGCCCGCCATGAGCAGACAAGTCGCAACACAACAGGAGGCCAACTGTTTGCTGGCTGAGCAGATAATGGTGTTACAATAAGCAGTGGATCAGCAAGTCGGAAGGGTCCAGGAGGTTGGTGAAATGCCATGCAACCCTTGGAAGGCTGTGCAGCGTGCTCTGCAAAAGATGACCACAACAGACAGTGTGGAGGCTGATCTTGCCCTCTTTGAGTGAATTGCCACATGGGAACTGCTGCCTTAGGCAGACTGGGCAGATGTACTGGACCCTTTCCTAATCGCAGAGTCTCAGCAAGCGTGTTTTGATTTGGCCCCTGAAACTGCATGCGTTTACAAGCATTTGAAAACAGAGATTTTGGCCAGCATGGGAGTGACTGTTACCTTAAGGGCAATGAAGTCTCCAAACCAGATGCTTACCCCATGCCCGGGGTAGATGAGTTAATTGAGAGGTTAGGTCCTGCCCAATAAATTTCCACCTTAGACTTAACCAAAGGTTACTGTCAGATTCCTGTGATTTGCAGTTTTGCCCTTGGCCTGGTACAGAGCACTAATTTATGGTTAGGAAGTATTTTAACACTGATAGATCTAAATCTGATAGGATCTCTATAACGTCAAACCAAAACAGGAAATTAAAGAAAGAACATTTACTGCATTATTCACCGCAACCAATCTGATCAAGCAGCTCAGAGAATAATTTTTGGATATGGGCCACCACGTTTTCCTCCTAACCTCTGTATTTTATGCAAAAGCCAATCGTCATCAGAAGCATTTGTCCAGAACTACAGAAAAAAGTCAGAAGATGAAAGAGGGTAATGACCAAAAAAAACAAAAACCTTACTTGTTAGAAAAATGCTGTGGCAGATGTAAGACCTCGGTGATCGCTTCTGGGTTATTTCGGGCGACATTACAGAGTTCTGATTTGGAATAACAGTCCTCCTGCACTTCAGAGATCATTCGTTGCAGGCTGGAGCATCTGCGGATGGCCAGGAACACCTTGGAAGTTATTCCGCCTACAATACACTTCAGACTTTCCTTCACGAACACTTTCCCCTGGGGGAAGATGGAGAAAGATGGACACAAGGCAGTTAGAACTACAACTCAATGGGAAAAGGAAAAAAAAGAAAGTGAATGCAGCCCCCACATCTAATGACTGGAAGGGTGAACTGGATACATATATTTTTTTATTTTTTGGGTTTAGATTTGCTTTCATTTTGTGGGCTCGTTGTCACCGGACACACTTTGAAAAGCATGCATTAGCATAATCATCTTTTAAAGGAACCAATTCAATTGATGTGTGTGGTAAATTGGAGATCCTTGCACTAAAAGTGCTATCTGCACGACATTCTTCCAGCACTACATAATGGTTGTTGGAAGCAGGTTCTGCGGAAAATTATTTTCTATCTCTTGTTTGCCTACATTAAAAAACATTGCAAAATGCATCATGTGTCAAGTGAGAAGCCCCGCAGGAGTATTACATGTAAAATGGAAACACATGTATAAGGAAATGAAATACAAATGAAATACAAATGAAGTACAAATGAAGTTAATGTTTCTTGGAAACAATTTTTTGGAAACTATTTCTTTTTATGGATTTCCTTGTTCACGTTCGTAGTTTGCATGAATTGTTTAATTGAAAATGGAGCCAGAAAGCAAATGGAATGTATTCATATTTATATATTTGATAAAGAATTAAAACATTAAAACATTTGATCATCTCATTTAGTTTAATGGAATCATTTGCACTATTCCACTTAGCTAAATTTGATTAAATTTACCTTCAATGTCTGAACTTACCAGCAATCAATATTACCGGTATAGAAATCCTCCATGTTTGATTATTTGACTTATATTAGCAAGCCTCTATAAATTATTTTATTTACAGGATTATATGAAGACTAATATGATGAACTGCTGGAAGCCATTTACCCCCACAGACGCAAAATAAGCCATCACAACTGTGATTCCCCTCCCTAAGTGGTCAAGTACCAATTCACAGCAATATGCAAAGCTTTAGACCAGGGGTAGGCACCCTGGGCACTCCAGCTGTTTTGTAACTACAATCCCATGAAGCACTGCAAGACTCTGACAAACCACAGCCATGACTCCAAGAGGCATTTGTAGTTTAACACAATAGTAGTGTCAGGCTAGGTCCACACCTGCGCAATCCGTGACCGCACAGCAATCGTGCACAAAACCGCGTGGATTGCTGTAGTCGCCCACCACAGCCTATTGCTCTGGCGCTGCCATTATTTTCTAATGGCACTCCAATCGCGCTGGGCGGATTGCGCGGTTTCCTAAAAAAAATAAATCTGAACCTAGCCTTAAGGTTGCCTACCCCTGCTTTTGTGTGTATCCTTAATTCATAGTTGACTCTCTATAATTCTGTGGGTCAGCAGTCCGGGCACCATGAACCTTTTTTTACCCATAGAAAAGTCTTGGCAACTATTTTTACAAGGTGGGTTGCCAGGTCTTTCCTCAACCCGCCCCTATTGCTCAGGCTGGAGTGTGGGATGCAGAATGTGACAACACACATGCATAGCATATTAGGGCCAACAAACCTACCAGCATGTCTTTGGAGTATGGAAGGAAGCCCACTTAAGCACAGGGAGAATTTGCAACCTCCATGTAGATAGAGTCCTGGACAGAATTTGAACCAAGGACCCCAATGTAGTAAGACATAACTGCTAACTAATACACTGTGCCACCTTACTTCACACTAACATCTCACCTTAACTAATGAGTACCTTGAGATTGCTTTCAATGTGCCGGGTCATATGTAAAGGTCTCATCATGGGAATTTGGACTACATGTAATGCATGTGAATGAAGGACCTATATTCCTGTCACTTTGTCTGCACGTTTCCTCTTCAACCCCAAGGTTGTACAATTTTTTAGTATATGCTTTCAAGTTATTGACCAATTGAGAGAATTTCGTATAGATAACATATAGTGGTTATTTTATAATCATTTAAATATTGTCCTATTTTCCCCAATAAAATGCTGCCTGATCCAAGTCTCTACTGAACTGCCCATTGTGTCAGGGAGGGAGAGTGCGTGCCTCAGCACACTCCTTACCTGATACGATGGGTGAGGTGGAAAAATACATATGGAGAAGCAGGAGGATTTTAAGAGTTTATGACCAATGGTCAGATAACATTGATTACGTGGCAATCTTGGATTAGCAGCATATTGATTTGCAGGAATGCCTTCCAAGACTGGTTGGAGTATGTCACTGTACCTGAGTGTCAAATTTGGCGGCGTTGAACAGAAAGGACTTGCAGATGTCATACAATCCATCGGTGTCACAGGTCGTATTCTCCAAGCAGGCGAAGGCCCCGCAGCCAACTTGCAATGCCCCATTCAAGCAGCGAACCACTTCTACTAAATGGGAGAGAACAGAAGGGTCAGCACTAAATCACCTACATAAAGGAGTGATCTTCAACCCTGGCCGCTGTATCAGACTTACCAGCTTACAACAAATCTCTATTATTGTTTTACATTTGTTTTATGTAGAATGTTTGGAGATTAAGTTATACCCTTTATTGGCCAACTTAAGTTTTATAGATGCAAGCTTTCGGGATGCCTTAGACACCTTCTTTAGGCTTATCAATCATCCAGAAAGGATTTTACATAAATGAATAAAAGCCGACCATTGAAAGACCCGGTCAGTGTTAAATGGTTCCTCTCAGCCCTCTATCTGCCACTTTTGCTGGACATCTTTGCCTGTTGACCCTTTCGCTGCCATTGTTGGATACCATATGTGAGCAGCAGTGGACCCCTGTAAGCAGACTGCCAGCAGCAGAACTGTTTACATGTGTAAAGCCCAATCACTTCCATGGGCTGGTAGACATGCCCCACCTGATGCGCCCCTGCCATGTTTCCTGGGCTCCACTACCCCACCTGCGGGCCTGGGACTAGCATCGAGGTTGTTGTAGGAGAGAGAGAGGAGAGAGACAAGCGGACATCCATTCACTGATCCCCTCCCTGCTATATAAACACAGAAGTGAGGATGATTGCATCATTTCCACTTTCTTTGCTGTCATTCCCTGGTCTGTGCTTGATCAGCTTCCATGGACTGCAAAGATGGCATTAGGTGTCTAAATAGACTGTGCGGGACCAGGACCGGTATGGCGGGTGTCCCTTGATGGATCGCAGCGAGATCAGCAGGCTTCCAGCCGCTGATCTCTCCTCTGATCACAGGACCTGGAAGTGATGTGCATTACATCACTTCCGGTGTCACTGTACACATTCTCCGGCTCTTAGAGCCAGGAGAAGAAGCTGGGAAAGCAGATCTCTGCTTCATCAGTTCTTTGGGGTCCCTAGGTTACATTAAGGGTCTGAAAGACCCCTGAAGTCTCCATAAAGAGGATCAGTCACATAATCTTTGCTATAGGGGGCTTGTTAGCCCCCTATGTGATAGCAATAAAGTTAAGTGTATAAAAAAAAATAGAAAATTAAAGTCACATATATATATATATAAAAAAAAATGCAGAAAAAACGTTTCTTAAATCCCCTGCCCCCCCCCACGTTCATTCACATACAAGCACAAACACATATCAGGTGTTACATATCACTGTGAACGTTGGAGTGTGAGCAACAATTCAAGGCCATCAATCACTAGTAACGCTAAACTGATGAGCAGTAAAACTTTTAAAGCGTCGCCTATGGGAAATTATGGGTATTATAGTTTTTTGCAGTTTCACGGGCGAACGCAATGTTATGGCTTGTCATGTTTGGTATCTATTTACCCGACGTGACCCCGTCTTTTATATTTTACTAACAAATTGGGTATTATATTCTGTTTCTGTGCGCTAAATTTCATTTTAGTGTATTTACCGTGCGACATCAATAATTGGAACTAGCTTTTCTTTATTCTGCAGGGCCTCTGCTTTCAGAAAATATGTCATTGTTTAGGGATCTGAGGCTGTTTTCTAGCCCAAAATTCCGATTCCATCATGTGTGTGCAAATGTAAGAAATTGTTCCGGACGGCAAGTGGTTAAGGCTCACACCTAGACAACACCTCACCGCGGGCAATCGTGTACGATCCCGTGCGGATTGCAGCGTGGTCAGGAGTCGCCAAGGTGTGAACCGATTGCGCTGTGGGTGCCATTATGATCTAATGGCATCCCAGTCGCGCCAAGCAGATCGCAGGGTTTCCCGCCGCGGTTCTGCCCGTGCTTCCGAACAGCCAAAACAGCCGCGTGTCGTGTAAAGCAAAAAAAAGGTACTTTTTTGTGTGATTGCTGCGCGGATGTCACCCCATTGAAATCAATGGGGCCCCGCGGCAATTGCTGCCTGCATTGTGCATGACCGCTCGACACCCTGGATGCGCGTCCCGGGTGTCGTGCAGTGTAGTGCAGGTGTGATCCTAGCCTAGCATTTTTGGGTTTAGATACACTTTATATTAGCCAACAAAGGATATCACTTGAAGTTTCTGCATTCATCGATGACTGACTCTGTGCAACACTCTACTTATACACCACTCTACTTATTATGACCACCTGACGTTTGTAGGCAAATTAGCTATAATTTTGCGCTGAAGTTGCTAGAGGGCCAGACCATTATAAATAGGGAAGCAGGTTGTTTACCACGACAGTAGAAGTGATTTTTTTCTGAAGATTCGGGGAAACAACGCGATTTGACAGCCTTTGAACGTGGGATGATTGTTGGTGTTGGAGCCATGGAGCGAGTATCAGCAAAACAGCAGAATTCGTTAAATGTTCAAGAGCAGCTGTTGTTAAAGTGTTTAAAGACTGGACTGTCAGCCGAAAATCTGGGTCTGAACGTGCGAATTGTGGCCATCAGCGACTAGTCAATGTTAGGGCAGAACGGGGGAGGGGCAAGACTGGTACAAGACAACAGAAGGGCAACAGTGCCGTGTCAGATTCCTAGCATCACCTTTCAACATCCCGTGGAGTCACGAGGCGGCCAAACAAAGCCATCTCGTGGAGTCATCTCGTGGCCCAACGAAGTACTGATGGGGTGGTCATAATAATCTGGCCACTCAGTGTACATTTCATGTCATAATATAGCAGATAGAACATTTGTACAACTGCGTATCCGTGGCAGACAAATATTTGTAGACGAATCCCGAGGAGACACATTACAAACTATCTATAATATTATATACAAACTATCACATGTAACAATTGCAGAGTAACGTTTAGCTTCTATTCTGACAAATGAAAGTTGATCTGCACTCAGATGTGAACAAAGCTGTAATGTCTGTTTTGCAGAGATGGATACAAAAAGAAATGATAGGATGATGATGAAATTCTGTCCTTTCCTGGAGAAAATGCTGCTTCATGTTCCCTTTAGTTCTGATAGTGGGGGGGATTAGAGGACTTCTTCCAGCATCTCTCAGCTGCGCTCTGCTCCTCTGCTCCTCCTACCCATGCGTGTCACAATTTCCAATGATTGTCACAATGAATGTAACTGATGGTTACTGATTCCCTCCCCCTGCTGTGACCCCTCCATTTCTATATACAACACCATGTGACTGATCCGCTCCCCCTGGTATGACACCCCCATTCCCCTCCCTATTTTCAGATACGGCATCATGTGACCGATCCCCTACCCCTGCTATACACCCTTACTTTTATATAAAGTACCATGTGATTGATTCCACCCCCTCTCCCCTTTCTATGACACCCCCCCATTTTCATGTTCAGTACCATAAGACTGATCCCCTCTGCTACATCCCCACATTTCTATACACAGCATCACATGACTACTTACCGTGTAAATTAGGGATGCACAGATACCTGTTTTTTCGGTATCGAGTATGAGCACCGAAAGTCCCATTAAGGAAGCCGGGCGATGTGTAAAGACTCGCCACCCGGCTTCTTGATTAGCCGGGAAGCCGTCTCCATGCTCCTTCATCACCAGGAAGCATGGAGCCGTCTTTTTGGCCAATCAGGAAGCCGGACACACCCGGACACACACACACACACAGGTAATGACTTGGTAATGACTTGCCATGTCATTACCCTCTCCAAGGAAGCTGGGGGTGGGTAATGACTCGCTGCCCACCTTCATGACACCGGAAGTTCCAGTATCGGGATAGGCATCGGGAGTATTTGGACGAGTACTCGCCCAAATACTCGGTATCAGCACCAATACTAGTATCGGTGCATCCGTAATATGTATACAGTATATGTGTATAGGCTTCATTGACACTGAGAACTGTATGCAAATTCTATCACCATAGATGCTTTCTTGTTGCTTCTAGATGCCTAAAATGCGTTTACATGCATCTGTCCTTTGTCCATTGAAACAGTCTACTGACATAAGCAATGAGATTTCGGCAAATACATGCGTCTTGCGTTTACATGCGTTATGATGCGTTTAGAAGTTAAAATCTATTCCTGGACGCATCTGACTTCTATTTTTCCTAAACGCAGCTAAACTGACTGCTGATAAAAGCATTTAAACGCATGGTGTGAAAAGATCCATGGGAAATCCTTAGATTCGTTTATATGCATTTACAAACCATTTTAAATACATATAAACACACCGAATCGCAGCCAGAGTGAATGCCTCCCCCTCTCCCCCTCCCCCTCCCTGTCTCACTCAATGAAAAGATAGGACCGTCCATTAAAGTAATTAAAGAACAACTCCGGGCAAATGACAAATGAAACCCTTGCAGTGAGTCTCAGGGTTCAGCCCGACCGCTGGGGTCACGTTATGAAAATTCCTCTTTAACCCTTTGTTAGGACAGACAGATTACAGCTGACAATGAGATCTGTCGGCACAGCACACACAGCGCTCATTATAATGAACCTCCCAGATCCCTCCCTCCAGAACATCACATAGGAGGGGGACTTCGTAGGAGATTTAAAGTTCTGCTATGTGACCGGGAACATGTAACACATAGAAATGGCGTCCAATGTGGCTGCAAAGTGGAAATACACTTTCATTTGGGGATTGCTCCCTGATGTTGGAGCTGTGCAATGTAAAGGAGAATTTGGGGAGTTCTCCCAGAATGCAATCACTTCATACAAACCTCCTACTAATAAGAAATCCTATTGTACTAGCACAGGGTCCCCCAGGTACCATACTGACCCCCCTACAAGCTGTGTTCCCACACTGACCCCCTACCTGCTGTGTTCCCACACGTCCCCCCCATATACCATACTGCCCCCCCCCCCATATACCTACCATACTGACCCCCCTACAAGCTGTGTTCCCACACTGACCCCCTACCTGCTGTGTTCCCACACGTCCCCCCCATATACCATACTGCCCCCCCCCCCATATACCTACCATACTGACCCCCCTACAAGCTGTGTTCCCACACTGACCCCCTACCTGCTGTGTTCCCACACGTCCCCCCCATATACCATACTGCCCCCCCCCCCATATACCTACCATACTGACCCCCCTACAAGCTGTGTTCCCACACTGACCCCCTACCTGCTGTGTTCCCACACGTCCCCCCCATATACCATACTGCCCCCCCCCCCATATACCTACCATACTGACCCCCCTACAAGCTGTGTTCCCACACTGACCCCCTACCTGCTGTGTTCCCACACGTCCCCCCCATATACCATACTGCCCCCCCCCCCATATACCTACCATACTGACCCCCCTACAAGCTGTGTTCCCACACTGACCCCCTACCTGCTGTGTTCCCACACGTCCCCCCCATATACCATACTGCCCCCCCCCCCATATACCTACCATACTGACCCCCCTACAAGCTGTGTTCCCACACTGACCCCCTACCTGCTGTGTTCCCACACGTCCCCCCCATATACCATACTGCCCCCCCCCCCATATACCTACCATACTGACCCCCCTACAAGCTGTGTTCCCACACTGACCCCCTACCTGCTGTGTTCCCACACGTCCCCCCCATATACCATACTGCCCCCCCCCCCATATACCTACCATACTGACCCCCCTACAAGCTGTGTTCCCACACTGACCCCCTACCTGCTGTGTTCCCACACGTCCCCCCCATATACCATACTGCCCCCCCCCCCATATACCTACCATACTGACCCCCCTACAAGCTGTGTTCCCACACTGACCCCCTACCTGCTGTGTTCCCACACGTCCCCCCCATATACCATACTGCCCCCCCCCCCATATACCTACCATACTGACCCCCCTACAAGCTGTGTTCCCACACTGACCCCCTACCTGCTGTGTTCCCACACGTCCCCCCCATATACCATACTGCCCCCCCCCCCATATACCTACCATACTGACCCCCCTACAAGCTGTGTTCCCACACTGACCCCCTACCTGCTGTGTTCCCACACGTCCCCCCCATATACCATACTGCCCCCCCCCCCATATACCTACCATACTGACCCCCCTACAAGCTGTGTTCCCACACTGACCCCCTACCTGCTGTGTTCCCACACGTCCCCCCCATATACCATACTGCCCCCCCCCCCATATACCTACCATACTGACCCCCCTACAAGCTGTGTTCCCACACTGACCCCCTACCTGCTGTGTTCCCACACGTCCCCCCCATATACCATACTGCCCCCCCCCCCATATACCTACCATACTGACCCCCCTACAAGCTGTGTTCCCACACTGACCCCCTACCTGCTGTGTTCCCACACGTCCCCCCCATATACCATACTGCCCCCCCCCCCATATACCTACCATACTGACCCCCCTACAAGCTGTGTTCCCACACTGACCCCCTACCTGCTGTGTTCCCACACGTCCCCCCCATATACCATACTGCCCCCCCCCCCATATACCTACCATACTGACCCCCCTACAAGCTGTGTTCCCACACTGACCCCCTACCTGCTGTGTTCCCACACGTCCCCCCCATATACCATACTGCCCCCCCCCCCATATACCTACCATACTGACCCCCCTACAAGCTGTGTTCCCACACTGACCCCCTACCTGCTGTGTTCCCACACGTCCCCCCCATATACCATACTGCCCCCCCCCCCATATACCTACCATACTGACCCCCCTACAAGCTGTGTTCCCACACTGACCCCCTACCTGCTGTGTTCCCACACGTCCCCCCCATATACCATACTGCCCCCCCCCCCATATACCTACCATACTGACCCCCCTACAAGCTGTGTTCCCACACTGACCCCCTACCTGCTGTGTTCCCACACGTCCCCCCCATATACCATACTGCCCCCCCCCCCATATACCTACCATACTGACCCCCCTATGTCACCTGAGTTCTGGGACTGTCCTCGGCTCCTCCTGGCTCCCGGGAAGTCGCTCTGATCCGTCTCATAGGCTGAGCACAGGAAGGGAAGAAGGAGGATGAGGATGATGAGGCTCTTGTCATTCATTCTGTGCGCTCCGATCGTCTCTCCTCCGGGATGGATCGGATACAATTTATACCCGGCTCTTATCTGCTCATCACATCAGCGGCCAATCAGAAGTCTCCTCCCAGCAGCCAATCACCGGCCGGGCTCATTCATAAAAAAGGAATTCTGAACCCCCCACCATCAGGACCTTCCCAGAAATCACGACCACCTAACACCCCCCCTCCTGTCACCGGGGTCTGCGGAGCATCGTTCTGTCACGTGTGCCATGGCGCCCACCTGAGCTGTAGAGAGCCTGGAGCGCCGACTACACTGGGAGGGCTGATGGTAATAATAATGGGCATAGAAGAGGAGGGGGAGTCTGATGGAGAGCTCAGATTTTTATCATTTGCATTTTATTCTGCGATCCTTTTTCTGTTTGGCTTTTATTTTTTAACTCACATCCTAGTTAAAGGCAGCACAGTCCCTCCCAAAATATTATCCAAAAATAATAATAAAAACAAAATGCACCAATATTGATTAAAGGGAAAGTCCTATTATTATTATTATTATTATTTACAGACTTCTACACAAAAGAAAAAAAATGTGCACACACATTTATTAAAGGCAAAGTCCATGTTTTAATAAAATAAATAAATAAATAAAAATAAATATAATACTGATACTACTACTACTACTACTACTAATAATAATAATAATCATAAATGCAGACTTCTAAATAAAATAAAATATGTGCACCCACACTTATTAAGGGTAAAGTCCATGTTTTATCAAAATGAATAAATAAATGAGGAAAACATAAATACAAATAAATATAATACTGCTACTACTAATAATAATCATAAATGCAGACTTGGGTGCAATGCTCTGGCTCCTGCAGACTCTTCCTCCAGTCCAAGTCCGTACTGAGGACATTAGTATGGACATTCAGTAACAGGGACGGGAGGGAGAATGAATGGTGACATAACCACACTCATATTCTATTGAGAACTACAAGTCCCCCTGCCACTGTGGCTGATGGAGTTTGTAGTTTCTGCATTCACAGATCTTCTCATAGGATCTGTGATTGGATGACACGGCTGTGTGGGCGGAGGAACACAAGCATTCGGGGAGAAGGGTCCTGCGATAAAGATGATGATCTTTCCAGACTAGAGTTCTCTGCAAAGACTTGAGACGAAGCCCACATTCACACATGCATGTTGTGTGAACGTCGCGTGCCAAACACGCACAAAAGTGCACGCTTTGGTGCACGCTGACGAAAAACGCAGCAAAACTCCCAATGCGCCATTCCTGTCTAATGGCACCCCAAACACGGGCAGCAGGACACACAGTTTTGCTTTATGTTTGCGTGGTCTCAAAATCATCCGTATAAGGTTTTTTGCCACTTAACGCAATGGGGATGCGCAGCAAAACACACAAAACCTCACGAGCATGTGCGAATGTGATGCGCCTTCACGTAAAAGGCAGGTATGAATGTGGGGCAACTGAAGGAACATGGAGGTGAAGGGAGGGTCTACCTAAGACTGAACTAACTAGCAAACTAGCACTGAACAGAAGGGGGAACAGAAGGAGATTTCAAATACAGCAATAAACACATTGCAGGTAAGTGTGTATGTGTGTGTGTGTGTGTGTGTTGTGTGGGTGGGTGTGGGTTTGGGTGGTGGGGGGGGGGGGGGCAGGAGGGTTAAGGGGGTCTGCTATGTGACCCTGTTTCATGTGACACCCTGAATATGGATGTAACATGAAACATGGTCTAAGAGGTGGAATTAGCCCTTAAAGCAGAACTATGAGGTGAGTGATTTCCACTCAACCTCATAGTTTAAGCTGACGTGTCACACGTCGGCTCAATAGATCGGGAAGTGAGCAAACACATACCGTCGCTCGCTCACTTCTCGATCATGTCCGCGCAGAGAGTCGTGACCGTCACTTACGGCTCCCCTCAGGGATTCCCCCCTCCTCTGTCCAGCGCTGACTGGCGGAGCGGACGGGGGAGGGGGCGGGTACAGCTGGCTCTGCCTCGAGATAGGCGGAACCAGCTGTCAATCACGCAGCTCGGTGGATCTCGACAGTAAAGTCGGGATCTGTCCCGGCTGCGGCGGTGTCAGTATACCGTACTGAGCTTTGGGTGACGGGAGGACGCTAGTTTATGTCTTCCTGTGACCCTGAGGAGAACTATGGGGAAAAACACTGACCCCATAGTTCTCCTTTAAAGCAGAACTCCGGGCAGATATAAAAGACACAAAGTAGAGGGAACGGCTAATCAATAAGCTTTGAATGATGCTCCCCATTGCCCTGTATACGCTGTATACTAAATCACAATATCAAAATCTTTCTGAACTCTTCTTATGTGGTCACATGACCTCAAAGTTCAATTTCTAACTCCTCCCTGTGCGGCTGGTGGACATGAACTCTCCTCTTCGTCGACACCGCCATGGCTATTGTTGGCGACGGGTGATTTCACTTCTCTGTGTGATTCGACCCCTCTGTCCACCTCGTCATTCCAGCAGACGAGCCGGAGCTTTGTGGTCATGTGACCGCATCGCAAATCATGGAAATGAGGCATTTATTATTTAACGGACATGTGGACAATGGGGAGGCGACATTCCAAAGCCAGCCTATTGTTCAACGTTCCAGATCTGTAACCATCAATACATTTATACATCATATCACTTAGACAGCCAGCGTAAGTATCTCTGACCCATTATCGGCCTCTCGCAGTCCCTGTACAGCAGGGCTTGTGGGTGAAAGGAAGAAGCAGCACAAGGAGTTAATCAGTTCATGTGCTGACAAGAGGCATGCTTATAAAAGAGGAGAGAGCAGAGTGACAGAGAGATGAGCTTGTCACAGATTGGGGGGGACAGGACCAGAACGACCTGGGCTCAGAGGAAGTGGGTTGAATGGTTATCAGACTGAGGAGATCCATCTCTGGATATAAGGTGAATATTCCATGTAGTTGGAAGTACTGTACATACATTTCTGTATTATCTGCCGCCATCGCTTATGGCATTGGCAGAGTATACAGTGTATGTATGAGGTCCACATCTTTCCTATATGCCCGAAGCAAAACACGCGCCCTGCGACCCTTGTGCACAGGATCTACTCTCTCTGCTGCCCCAAGGCCCGGTTCCTCAACTGCCCCAAGCAGGGCTAAATGTAGAAAAAAACTGCTCGCCCGGCGGCTGTGCTGCCCCTCTATTCCCTGCTGCCCCAAGGCCGGGGCCTCGGTGGCCTTGTGGGAAATCCGGCCCTGCTTATGCAGGATCCCAATATACTAGCAGGGGGCCCATGCATAGAACACAGCCTGGGGTCATAGTAATCAACTCACTGCTGGTTCCAAAAGTAAATCGAATCTCTATGTGGGTGATATTTAGTTTGTTACAGCCCCCGGCCCCGCGCATCAGAAACGTGGGTCATTTAAAATAAAAATGAAATGCAGTTTTCACTTTTTTCATTCTATTTCGCATCTCAGATCTCCTCCGGGCCCCTTTGCAGCCACTTCCTGTCTATATGCGTGTGTGTGTGTGATCCTTCTCTCCATGACAGGCACATCAGAATGGGTTCACAATGGCGGAACAAGCCTGGGAGTTTGCATCGGCAATGCTGTTCAGTAGGGAGCGCATGTGACGGCGAGGCAAGGAGAAAAGCCATAGGGAGACGGGGTCACGGGGTGTCACCTCACCAGGCGATGATTTAATGAAGATTGCAGGTATAAAAAAAACTAGAATACAATGTTGCAATTACAGTAACATGTTGTATGAGATTTTATGGGAGCTGCATTACAAAAAAATGCCCTTGCATCAGAGATAGGTGTCCCGCCCCTTCCAGTCTGTAGCGTCTGACACATTCGGCCGCACGAGCACCGCGAGAGGGAGCCCAGGTAAGTGAGCCTATCTACCAGTGTTGGCTTTGTGATCGACTGGTAGATCGCGATCGACCTAATGGGCACCCCTGCTCTAGGCAACCCTTGGCATGCCAGCTGTGCCGAATCTACAAATCCCACCATGCCTCTGCCTCTTGGAGTCATGCCTGTGGCTTTCAGAGTCTTGCAGTGCCCCATGAGACTTGTAGTTCCACAACAGCTGCGGTGCTGAGATTGCCTACCCCTGCTGTAGATTGTGGATGGGCCCTTGGCGTCCTCATGTGTAAGGGTGCCCACACACCTTACGATAATCGCGGGAAATCCCGCGATCGTACCATTATCGTAAGGTGTGTGGAAGCCGTGCGACCTCTACTACTGTAAGGTCGCATGACTTTTAACTTACGAACATGTTTGAAAACCCGCCGAGCATCGTACGATGTTCGGCTGGTGTGTAGCATGTTCGTAGGATAAAAAAAGCCAGACGGGCCGGTGTGCGCAAGTTCACAATGCCCGTTCGGGGGGCGCGGCTTGCGATCATCGCAAGTACGATCTGCTTGTCCAAGATAGGCAGATCGTACGTTTTTTTAAAGTACCTTACAACCGTCGCAAGACAAAAGTCTTGCGATGGTTGTAAGGTGTGTGCTCAGCATAATGCAGGACTGTTGGTCCCGCATTGTACTTGATTGGACCACTAGGTGGCGCACCTTAGAGGAGAGGCATTGGGGGACCGGTCATGCAGCGTGGAGGAGGACTGCCGAAGCGAGCACTAAGACCCTATATAGATGTAAAAGATTGAATGTCATGCCAGACTAATCTGTATACCCCAAAGGACCCCATTTAGGATTCCACGCGGCTGGATGTGCACAGTTACCGGGTTATTCACTAATGAGCTGAAGGATCTAGCCGTAGCTTCAGCTGATCCTTCGGCTCACTTCGGCCACCTGAGCGAACCAAAGGGCTGCTGTGCGGGCTATTCACAATTGTTTTTATTTTGCCGGCATCTGTCAGATGCTTCATTACGCGGCGGTAGTTCGTCGTGTGCGGTCAGGTTGGCATGCATCATTTTAAAACAAAATATTTTACTTTTTTTTTCAATAAAATATTTTTGTTCATTTTGCTATTTTTCTTTACATTTTTAAAAATAGATTTTAAAGTTATTTTTTCT